TCAAGTGTCCATCAAAGGATGAATGCATAGTAAAAATGTGATACATATACATATATATATTATATATTATACATATACACATATATGTATTAGATATTTTTCCACCATAAAAAAATGATACCCTATCATTTGCAACAATATGGGTGAATCTGAAGGAGATTATATGAAGTCAAATAAGCCAGGCACAAAAAGACAAATCATATGATCTGAGTTGCATGTGGAATCTAAAATAGTTGATCTCATAGAGAGTAGAATAGTGGATACCAGGGACTGAGGGGGGTTGTTTTAAAATGTTTGAGTTAACTCACATGAACAGTTATATATTCATTTCACTTATTAAAAGTTTAAATGTTTTAACTCACTAATGAGTTTAAAGTATTTAGAACAACGGCTGAACTCAAAAATAATTTAAGTAACTACTACTATTTTTATTCATATTGTTAGTTATTATTATTTAATGAGGCTAAAATCCTAAATCAAACATCAGTAAGTTTAATTGAAAGTTTATTCAAGGATTCTCAAGAATAGTTCAACATTATGGATTCTATTAATATAATTAATTAGGTTAATAGATAACAGTGAAAATAAAATTATCTCAAAAGGCACACAGAAGAGATATTTAATAGGTATTCATGATATTTTGGGCTTTCAAGTAAATCAGAAATGAAGTTAAATTTCCTTTACATCATGACTAGTTACATAGAGCAGAATTTATTACTAGATATTATTATCAACACATAAAAAGAACATATTAAATCATAAAGGCAAAAGGATTGCCTTCTGTCTTCTGACTTTAATGAGGACCTTTAATCTATTTATTAATTATTTACCAGTGTTACAGTGATTCTAGTGGATATTATAAAATAAGAAGTAACTGGTATAAATATTAGAATTTTGGAGAAATATTTTCAATGTTTTCAAATTCAAAAATTTCATACCTAACAAATTAAACAGGATCATAAAAAATTGAATGCTTGGGGGCAGGGTTGTGGCTCAGTGATAGAGCGCTTGCCTAGCATATGTGAAGCACTGGGTTCGATTCTCAGCACAACATTAAAAAACTAAATAATAAACAAATAAATAAAGGTATTGTGTCCACCTACAATTAAATATTTTTTTTAAATTGAATGCTTGGTACATGGCATGCAATGACCAAAGTTAGCTAGCTTTCAAACAAACTCCACATAGTTAAAAAAAATCTGCTAAAACTTATTATTAGAACCAGAATGAAAATATCAAAAGAAAACTACAGACCAACATCCCTCTTAGGAACATAGATACAAAAATCTTCAACAATGTACTATTAAATCAAATCCACTAATATAAAAAAATGGATTACACAATATAGTCAAGTGTTATTTATCCCAGGAATGCAAACTTGGTATAACATTCAAAAGCCAATTCATATATCACATCAATAGAATAAAAAATAAAAACTACAAGATCTTCTCAATAGGTACAGAAATGGAATGTGGAAAAAATTCAACACCCTTCATAATAAAAACACTAAATAATAAAAACATCCTCCATCTGATTTTTTTTTAAATCTACAAAAAGAAAATAATTCCTTCAACCTGGTTAAGAGCATCTTTGGAAACCCACAGATAGCACAGTTCATGGTCAAAACTGATAGCTTTTCCCCAAATATCAGTAGCAATACAACAATGTCTCCTCTCACAACTTCTATTCAACATTGTACCATAAGTTCCAGGCAGGGCACTTAGGCAAGAAAATGAAATAAAGGACATCCAGGTAGGACAGGAAGAAATAAAACAGTCTCTATTTGCAAACAACATGATCTTCTCTGTAAATATCCTCAGCAATACACTTTTAAAAAAAAAAGTCATTTTGGAAAGCACTCTAGCAGTTCTACAAATAAACAGAATTTACACCTGATCCAGCAATTCCACTCCTAGCTACATACCCAAGAGAATGAAAACATTATGTCCACACAAAAACTTGTACATGAATCTCACTATTCTGTACAATATGCATCAATTTAAAAAATTATAAACTTTTATGAGTGTTCATGGCAGCATTATTCATAATAGCTAAAAAGTGGGAACAATTCAAATGTCCAACAACAGATGAATGGATAAATAAAATATGTTGTATCCAAGCAAGGCAAAATTATTCTGCAAAAGAAATGAACTATAGACACATACAAGATGAATGAACCTTGAAAACACTGTAAATGTAGCCCGTCACAAAAGGACCACTAAGAATATGAATTTATTTATATGAAATGAACAAAACAGACAAATCTATAGAGACAGTAACTAGATTAGTAGTTACCTAAGCTTCAAAGGCTTATGGGGAGACTGAGAGGGACAGCTGAGGGATATGGAATTTCTTTTTGGAATAATAAAAATTTCTAGAGTTGGTTATAGTGATGAATGCACAACTTTGTGAATATCCTAAAAACCACTGACTGATACAAACAAAAACTCAGCTAGGAATGCAATAATGCCCATCATATCATAATAGGGCAAATATATTTAATTCCGATCAAAAGTGATACAATCAGGATCACACAGGAGGAAACCACAAAAAGAACGTGGGTCTCTGACCTTCCAGCCAACAATCTAACCACGAGTTACCTAGAGCTTCTGCTCCTGACTAAAGAAAATCCTTGGTTGCCTGATTTTACACATGGTCAAATGTGAATGCCAAACACTGGCAGGACAACTTGCTCCTGCAGACATTATTTCTTTGATAAATAAGAAAGATCCTGAGAACAATGAAATATTCTCATTCGTTACAGATGGGAAACTTCTGGGAGGTTACTATAAATAGTTGAATTCCTAAATATATACCATTATATATTCCCCTTCAATTTTATTGCATCCCAGGTCTTCTTAACTAGAATTTAATCTTCCTGAAGGTGGAAATCAGGTTTTCTCTGCTACCCATAGCCACTGCATTACAAACTCACAATCATTTATACTTTGCCTTGATTAGACTAAACAAATATGGAAGAGAGCACCATAAAATCCAGAGACGATGATCTATTTCTATTTCTTCATATTTTATTTATTAGTCAATATCTGAGGTTTTCCTATTATAATGAAAAATTATCAGATGACTCTCCATTCAATGATCCTCGGGTTCTATTAGAAATCAGCTAGGGATATAAGAGAAGGCAATCTTAACTCTGTGTGGCAGTACTGATTTTTTTTTAAAACCATTTCTAAAGTAAGATTTTTGTAATTACAAAAGAGAAATCCAACAAATATGTCTGAAGACAAAAAGCAAGGAGAAATGTATATTTGTCAAGAAATAGCAGCTCAATATGCATTGTCTTTTATCTGGCCTCATAGCAATTCTGCAAAATAAATTATTGCCTACATTTTCGACACAGAAATTGAAGTCCCAAAATACTAAATAGCTGATGTCACCCAACTAGAACTAGAACTCCAGACAATGCCATGCTCTTTCTACTGAAAAACATTCATTCCACATGTTTCTCATCTACTTTGAGAAGCCCACCCCTATGTATGAAGCTGTACATTCTGGTCTTGGACTGTATGGTCCTCCATTCAAACCCAAGCCCACAAGGCCAGTAGGGAAAGACAGCCTTTCCATGATTGTGAAGCTGAGACTTGGCTTAACACTAAACCCCAGCACTCAGAATACCTTTGAACTAACCTGTATCTCTCACAGGCATGTACATACATCACGCTGATTTCACTCAAAATCAGCCAGTTCCTAATGCTAACACCCACTCCCCAGCCAAAAAAAAAAAAACAAAAAAAGCATCAGGTGCCTCATAATCCCTTGAGGCTGAGAGCAAACTTAACCATTAAAAACAGAACTATTGATCCTTACAAATGCTGAAAGAGTATAAGGAAACACCTTCGGTTCTAGTCAAACAGATCCATTCATTGCGTCCGTCCCTCCTAAAAAAGTGCATTTCCTTACATTTCCTCACCTCTGTGACGACACACCAGCTCTATATACCCTTGTTCCCTTTCCTGCCGGAATTCTGCCTGTCCTTCAAGTCCTCTCTCTGTATGGTCTTCACCAACCAGTGAATTCAGTGAACTCAACACCTTGACATAATTTTGAAATTAGATGCCACTCTATTATTTCTTTATTATTAACTCTTTTTTATTCTTTAGCTTTAAGGTGGTCAAGCCATTGAATGGTTAGAAACTTAGAACCCTTTATGAAAAGGGTTGAACCTCATAATAGAGCAGTTTTCTTAAACATCAAACCCACTGCCTATGGGGACTTTAATCCAAGTTTTTCCATTTGGCACTGAGGCTCTGCAAGGATCTGGCTTCTACCTACCTCTGTAATACCACCCCTCACTGCCCATCCACAAATCTCATCTCTTCCCCCTACACAATTTTAGGTTCCAACCATGTACCCACACTTGCATTATCCTTCTTAAAATATTGGAAACCTCTTTCTATAATGTTGTTCCCACCCCTTCATTCCCATTCCCCTATCAGAAAACACTTGGCTTTTTTCCTTATACAACCACAGGTCCTTTAGGAAGCCTTTCCTGGATATCCCAATCCTCAATAGGATTGAGCCCTCTCCCTTTCTTCCATGAACTCTAACTGCTAGCATTCCATCACAGTGCTTTGTGATATTTATTTGTCCACATTCCCTACTTGTTTATGTGACCCTTAGAATAACACTTTTGAACTGTTCACCTCCCACACAAGAAATTCTTATTGAAGGCTATTAAACATAACTAATTAATTTGCTTGATGACTTAAGTATGGTGGATAGAATGCGGTTTTCCATGAACAAAGTCAACCTTTTAAAGGCAGGAGAGAAAGACACTCATTAGTGATCCTTGGAGAGCAAATAAGGAAAACACTTTGCCCAAAGTAAATTATTAATGCAAAGTAGATTCATTAATGTGTTCAGCAGAAATCATTCCTCAGCTAGCGGAATGTTTCCAAGGAGCTCCCACCCCTAAACTCCAAGGCATCTTGCATAGCCCATGAACTCTGAGTAGATTTTCAAGAGTGGAGATTTCTTACCTGTGTTCCAGTTCTCGAATGGACAGTATCACTCCTGAAGTTGACGGCTTCTGCTGTACGGTGGCCAAAAAGGTAAATTCACTCTTATTCCGGAACAACTGAATTAATTTCTCACTCACATGAGGGGCTGCATGGATCTCTCTCTCTGTATCTAAGAGTCAGGAAGGAAGAACAGGAGGAGAAAAAGGAGAAGACCAAGGAGGAGAAGGGTAGAGATGAAATAAAGAGGAGAGGGAACAAGAGAAAGAAGAGAAAAAAAAGATCACAGTTAAAAATGCCATGTTCAAGTATCCAGATCACATTTTTCATTTTCTCTTCTTGTCAATAGTTTCCATTTTTAGGTGCTATTCACCACTCCATACAGCCACATTCGTTCAATGAAAAACCCAGAAATGCTATCTCTGTCACCATGCCCACTTGTCACTTTGACAAGTTCACAACTGGCCAGACAGTGATTTTCTGACATGGATTTTGACAGGACACTGAGCAATTTAGCCTGCTGCAAACAGATGAAGTTGCTGTAAATAAGGTGAGAGGCAGTCAAATAAACGGGATCCTAAATTCAGAGAATCTTGGATCCAGCAGAACCCAAATGCCACTCCGCATGCCTCCAATCTCATTTTTCCCATAGGCTTGTTTTCCTTCTCCTCATAATTCATTTAAGAAACCTGCCCTTGCCTTGTGCCTAGCACAGATTTACTAGCACTAATAATGGCAAATGACTCTGCCTTAGCTTAAAGAATAAACACAAAACATGCTCATAAGTGTGCCTGAATTTCTCTGCAAATATGCAATGGATTGCTTTCCTCATGAAATATTTATTAAAGTCGAATCCAATTCAGCAGAACTGGATGTGTGAGAGTCCAGCTAATCCTGCTCCTGGGCAGGAATCCCTCCTTCTCCAACATCAGCGTAATGACAGGCACCCATCACTCCATACTCAGACTCACCCTGGCCGTGACAAACTGGGTGTTATCTCATTATTTCACCGTACATACATTTCCCGGCATCAGAAAGGGGCACCAAGGGAGCAAAGTTAGAGGAGACTACTCAAAGGACGATCAAGGGACATCAGAGGTGTATTCAGTGGTCCCCTTTCACCTCCTCTCAATGTATGACAACTACTTAGTTATTTCTCCAGGGTCACATGAGGAGCCTTTGAAAAACAGAGAACGGCAAAGACTACACCACATGGCAAACTTTTACAACAATGCTGAAGAATCTCAGCCTAAAGAGTGGCCTCTCAAAAAAAGAAAAGAAATAATAATCTTTCAATTCTTGGTCTTGAGGCCCAGTTGCCTGATCTGCAAATAGAGGGGGTACCTAGGGGATCTCTCAGAGCTTCCTACCTCAGCCTGTAGTTCTGTGAATTACTGCTCAGCATACATGACACAGAAAGAACACCACAGCCTTTTCTACCTGCAAATGCCTAGGCTGAGGATGGTTGGAAAAAACAGTGGGGAGGGGGGGTCCTATACCACAGAGGCACCTGAGCCAGGCAGAGCTCTCCATCGCACAAGTCCACCTGCATGACATTTGTTTTTCTGTCTGAAGAAAGGCCTTCGATATTCTACTGTAAAGGGCACATTGCTGGCTTTTGTCAAGGGTTGAGATAAGAACTAGCCACTTAAGGAGTGCTTCTGTGCCTTCTACAAAATCCCAGGTGAAAACTTTCCAGTTGGCATTCACAACTAATTAAGTATATAAACAAATGATATTGCAAACTAGAGACTATTAGCAACTTTTATTAACATTATTTTTATTATCATTACTTCTGGGCAAAATGCTCCCGATAAATTCCACCTAGAATTTAATGCTAGAAAAATAAATTGGACTTTTGAGATTATGTTGACTTTTTCCTTTTGTACTCATCAGTGAGGAATGAGCCCAGTGAAGAGAAGGCGGTGATTAATCAACAATGCCTGCTGGAGGAAAGGGGTATGGATATCATATTGAGTACGGGTGTCCTCACTTCTCATTTAATTTTCCTTGGGCAATATCTTGCCCCATGACCAAGGGCCTTCAAATTTCCGCAACCCTAAACTTTCCCTTAAGTAAAAGACCCATGTATTTAACTTCCAACTTGATGTTGCCATGAGAATATCTAGTCAGCAGTTCAAATTTTATGTGACTATTTAATAATCATTTCAAATTGTATGTGTGTACATCAGAACTCCTTTTCTCTTCCCCAATCCTCTATCTTTAGATCCTAAAGTTCCCCAGTAGGTGGTAATGCCCAGTTCCACAAGTCAAAATAATTAGAATATGTCCTTGATTCTTTCCATTTCTTCTCCCTCTATGTCCAACCCAAGAGTGAATCAAGACGGCTCCCATGTCTGGAATCTGTCCACTTCTTCCTAATTTCATTCTTATAGCTCTTGCCCAAGCCCCTGTCCTTGCACTCTAGAACAGTCTAATGGTGTCCTAATTAGTCTCCCTGCTTTCATTCAGCCTTCTTTCCCCCGTTTTTCTACCCAGTAGCCAAAGTGCTCCCTTTAAAGCAAAAGTCTGAATCATTTCACCTTCCTGTTTAAAATTCTCCCATGGCTTCCCACTGCTTATAGGATAAAATCCAGCCCTGTGAGCCTGATCTGCAAAGGCACACACATACCGATTCTTGTCTGCCCCTCCCTCTCCATCTCACACTCTCCTCCTTGTTTGCTGGGAGCACATTCCACCCACTCCTATCTAAGATCTTTGGACTCTGCCCTCTCCCCAGAGTCATCTTCTGCCACCTCTCCACATGCCTGGCTCCTTCTCCTTTAGCACAAGCTACAAATGCAACCTCCCTGTCACTCTTGCTAAAGTAGGCTGTCCACCAGTGTCCCTCTAACACACCACTCTGGTTATTTTCTCCATATAACTTGTCATAATGTATGGATTATGATCAGTTTGTTATTTCCTTACATTATTTATCACAATCTTGTCCCAGGCTTCTTTCTCATTTATTTTTCTCATTTATATTATTACTTTAAATAATCACATATGTTATAATAAGAGCATACTACAGGGATACTGCCACATCGATGTTCATAGCAGCATAATTCACAATAGCTAGACTGTGGAACCAACCCAGATGCCCTTCAATAGATGAATGGATAAAAAAATGTGACATTTATACACCATGGAGAATTACACAGCATTAAAAAATGACAAAAATCATGGAATTTGCAGGGAAATGGATGGCACTAGAGCAGATTATGCTTAGTGAAGCTAGCCAATCCCTAAAAAACAAATACCAAATGTCTTCTTTGATATAATGAGAGCAACTATGAACAGAGCATGGAGGAAGAGCAGGAAGAAAAAATTAACATTAAACAGAGACATGAGATGGGAGGGAAAGGGAGAGAAAAGGGAAATTGCATGGAAATGAAGGGAGACCCTCATTGCTATACAAAATTACATATAAGAGGTTGTGAGGGGAATGGGAAAATAAACAAGGAGAGAAATGAATTACAGTAGATGGGGTAGAGAGAGAAGATGTGAGGGAAGGGGACGGGGGATAGTAGGGGATAGGAAAGGTAGCAGAATACAACAGTTACTAATAGGGCATTATATAAAATTGTGGATGTGTAACCGATGTGATTCTGCAATCTGCATTTGGGGTAAAAATTGGAAGTTCATAACCCACTTCAATCTAATGTATGAAATATGATATGTCAAGAGCTTTGTAATGTTGTGAACAACCAATAAAAAAAAAGGAAATGAGAACGACAGCCTGTGATATTCCAGCACCATGGGCTGCCCCCAAAAGATCTCCCGACTCCAATTCTTCTATGTTTGCAAATTTAACCTTGAGCATGGTGGTGAAGATATTTTGGTTTTAAAAAAAAAAATTAGAATATCATAAAAACTTGTAAACACCTCAGTGGTTTGACAGCTTTCCAATGTTAAATGACTTTTCTGTTTAAATCAATAATGATATTAATGAGTGAGAGTTTTCAGTCCTATAATGAAATGTGCACACATTTCAAAGATGTATGTAACTCTATGATCTAGTATTTTCCAGATGACCAATGCATGATGTTTCAAAACTGTCCATGAGTAAATTAAAAGCACATTCAAATTTAAAAAAAAAAAAGAAAGAATAGTAGGCATGGTATCTTTTTGAAAACTAGGAATATATGAGTCCTTCTCAAATGTCAGTGGCTATCAAATTAAAGAAGATGATATTTGATGCCAATTTGCTCCCCTATTCAGAGGACACTCATCCCCCAATAGTCTGAACCAGTCCTACCACACTTCCGCTCACCCATCCTCCTTGAAAGCTGAACATTTCTTATGCTGACTTTTCTCATTTCTTTTTATAAATGATTGGCACATTGAAGTAAAGAGAGCCCATTAGCACTCAACAGAGTGAAATGTAAGAAATATCTATTTTGATACATGGAGACTTTATGAGCGTTCTCATTTTCAGAAAAGCCCTTTCAAATAAATGTTTATCATAATTCAGCCGATAAAAGAACCCAAGAAAGCAACGCCATGTCTTCTTAGAATATAGAGGCAAGAACAATGAATCAGGTTTCCAGGGACTGAGACTACTCTGAGATTTTTAAGTAACTAGCCGTGTACCTCAGATAAAGACACTTTACCCCTCTGAACACTACACTCAACATCTAAAAATCAAGATTAAATTCCATGATCTCCAAGTTCTTTCCTAGCCTCAATATTTCATTTCTGTTAATCACTTTACCCTGCTCCTAGCCATGTATCAAAAGAAGGGACTAAAGGCATTTTCCATCCATAAAACACAGATTTTGCAGATTTTCTCCTTTGGTGATTTTCCACATTAGCATAAAATATTAACTTTTCAATTGCTGAAAATAGTGACATGTTACCTACTTTACAGAAGCCTGATTTTTTTTTTCCTGGAGTTAAAAGAGCAACCAATGAAAACCAAGTAATGGAACCCTATAGTGAATATTGTACTTCTGTATTCAGCCACTACAGTGTGGGTTTGCTGAGTTACTTGAGAATAGTCAGTTCTGCTAGAGAACAAGAAAAACAAGTAGGATGGATGAGGCTCATAAGAAGTGTTAAATATAGATATCAAGTTAGAAACCTGTGAAACATGTTACACAGATTGAATAACTGGAACATAAGCAAGCTGAACGTAGATAAAAAGAATCAAATAAGAGTGTTGCTTGCAGA